ATTAAAATTCATAATTCTTTCATTTAGAGAAAAGAACAGCCCTACATTTTTATGTTTCCCAATTGTTATCTAATTTTATTTTTATCTTATCAAGATCGTAGTATTTTTAAATGACTGGTATCAGAGAACCTGAGAGGACTCAACTCCGGATATCTGTATTTTTTTACGCGGTATGTGATTTTATCTGAGGAGCCATGTTTTGCATGTAGAGTTTAAATAAAACCATCACTGCTTATTTTAATGTTTACAACTTGCAAAAGTGTTTTATAGGCTGTGCACATTTACATAAAGATTTCGGAGTGAAACAGAGACTGTATTAGATGCTACAGCATCTTGTCTATCCGTGTCATGTGACCTGCTCTGCGTGCATCTTCCATACAATGTAAAACACTAAAACTGAGAAGCAGGAGAAAAACTTTTTCTTAAAGTCTTCTCCCCACAAAACTAACTTAATTGCACTGAAATATGTGACAAGCCAAATTATCAACAAATCATCCAAATAAGGTATCATTTTTGCAGTAGCCCAACAACTTAGCAAATTGCTTCACATGAAGACATTGTCAGAAGGAGCAAAATATGATATTATTGAAGATTGTAGCTGTATACATGTTTACTCATGTATTTTTATTTAGAAACAAAAGACTGTCCTGCACAAACTAAGGTTGGGACGCAATGTTTGTAGATGTCAAGAAAAATGGATACTACAGTTCCCAGACCGATACTAGTGAGTACTGAGTGGGGCACAATCACAATAGTAATCCATGCAGGGTGTATATTTACTTTACTTTAAATCTACTTAGTTTTCAGCATACAGATGGTTTTGATTTTAATGAAGTATAGAACTGGAAGTTGTTATCTGCAAATGCCTTTTCTAAAATGACTTGGAATGGTATCTGGGACAAAAAAACCCTGATCAGGACACCCCTACTTTTCTTATTAGCTTAAAGCCTAAAGAACCATTAACCTCATCACAGATGATTCATAGTTCAATCACTGAGCGTTCCAATATTGTACTGCAAAGATGTAAACAATTTTAAATAATATCCTCCTTTTATAAAGCTTTGTTGAAACAGAGTCTATCCTGGTCATGGACCTGTGTTTTTCCATCCCCTAAGTCACATCCTCCCATATATGCAACGCTAATTTCTCTTTTCTAGTTTGAAGATAATTTTGAACATAAAATAACAAACAGAAAGCTGTGACAAGAGTCTCTCTGTTCACAGAGCTGATGACTTGTCGATAAGAAGAGAGTCCAAGAAACAATTTCTTTTCAGATATCTTTTTTAATAACAGTGAAAAAAGACTCCCTACCAATTAAGCTAAAAAGATAGCAATGTAAAAGTTTTTAATAAGATGAAGGAGGAGGTCATGTTTAATTAATGTGATTTATGTAGGAAAAAATAAACAAACAGTTAACATCCTGACCAAATGCCAAAATGTAAAAAAAAATTAAAATAAATAAATCTGCTAGCAAGTGTGTTTAGGATGGGCCAAAAATGCTTGGCTAAAATTTGAACACTTGATTAGTTGAACTATTTGGAAATTAAGGCACTATGAGTTGAGCCAACTGATAAAAACAAACTGTTACCAAAGCAATTTGATTTGGAGCAAATCATTTTTCTCAGCCAGGATCAGCCTTTAATGTTGTTCTTTGCTCTCCTTTCACTGAAACACGAGTTTTCAGTTATGGACTAATTTATGATACAAGCATCTGCTAATCGTTTAAAGAGCTGCTAGCGTTTACTGTCTTCATTCCTACACTGCATTCAAAAACATTATTATCCCTCAGTATTTTCCACATTATTTCAAGACACAACCACAAATCTCTTTGAATTCTTTTGGGATTTTATGTGATAGACAAACAAAAAGTAGTGCATCATTGTGAAGTGGTAAGAAAAGGATACATTGTTTTAATAACTTGTTACAAATAAAAATATAAAAAGTGTGTTGAACCTTTGTATTCAGCCCAACTAGGCCAATTCTTTGTATGTGTAAGTTTTTTGGAATTTGTCTTTAAAAACATTTTCAGGATGAAAGAAATATTTACTTCTTGTTCTTTACTAATAGCTCAAGCTCTATCCAATTGGATGGAAAACATCTGTGTACCGTAATTTTACTGTCACACATTCTCAACTGGAGTTAGTTCCAGGCCATTCTAAAACTTAAATATGAAAACCCCATATGCTGCATCTCAGAAAATTAGAATATTGGAAAAAGGTTAAATATTGGAAACATATGTTGTCACACTCTAATTAGCTAATTAACTCAAAACACCTGCAAAGGTTTCATGAGCCTCTAAGTAGTTTCTCAGTCTGGGTTGGAGGCTACACATTCAAGGGGAAGGCGGCTGACGAATCCTACATATGAGCTACAAGCGCCTTACCTGGGCTAAGTACCAAAAGAAGTGGCATGTTGCTCAGTGGTCCAAAGTCCTATTTAAAGTTGTAATTAAACTTTCCATTTCAGTTTGAAATCAATATCCTAGAGACTGGAGGAAGAGTGGAATGTTTAGCAGGACATGTTACCTGCCCACACTGCCAAAGATACCAAAAGCTGGTCCAATGACCATGGTGTTAATGTGGTTGATTGGCCAGCAATATGACCTGACCTGAACCCCATAAAGAATCTATAGGGTGCTGTCAAGAGGAAGATGATAGAACCAGACCCAACAATGCAGATGACCTGAAGGCTGCTATTAAAGCAACCTGAGCAGTGACACAGGTTGATCTTCCCTATGCCATGTTGCATTGATTCAGTTATTCATGCAAAAGGAGACTCATCCAAGTATTAAGAACATAGAAATAAACATACTTTTAAAAACTCTGACATTTCAGTTTGAAATATCATTTTTTATTGATCTTATGTAATGTTCTATTTTTTAAGACACATAATTTTAGATTTTCATTTACTGTAAGCCATAATCACCAAAATAACAAGAAATGGAGACTTGTGTTTCTATTTGTTTCACTCGATGTGTAATGAACCTATACTATATGTTTCACTTTCAGAAATGAGTGACCAAAAATGTTGAACTTTTTCACAATATTCCAATTTTTGAGATGTTCCTGTATGTTAAGGGTCATTGTCCTTCTGGAAGATGAACTGCTACCTTTCTCAAGTTGTTTGCAGTCTCTAGCAGGCTTTCTACCAACTTTGCCATGTACTGTATTTAGCTCCAGCCATCTCCCCATCAAACCTGATCAGCTTTTTTGCCTAAAGAAATGATGCTGCCATTATGCTGTTTCACCATGGTGACGGTGGTGCAAAATGATGTGCGATGTTAGTAGTAGTGCTACACAAAGTATTTTGAATTCTTACCAAAAAGTTCAATTTTGCTCTCATTCCATAAGGCCATCTTCCTCCAGTTGTTTGCTATGTCCCCTGCATGGCTTGTGGGAAACTCCAAACTTCTCATTGCTTTCTTTTAACAATGGTAATTATATTGCCGCAATTCCATTAAAGCCAGATTTGTAGAATGCTTGACTACTAGTTTTCCTGTTGACAGATTCTCCCAACTGAGCTGTAGAATTCTGCAGTTCCTCCATGGCTACCTGTTGCTTCTCTGAAGGAGCTCCATGCTTATGTAACAGTTGTGAAACGGATCAATAACGTCACACTGGAACCAGGATCTGCGTCAGTTTATTCCTATAAAACACAGTGTAGGACACACTCAAACGTTGGGTATGGTTACAGTCACCGTCAAATCCCAGCAGCTCAGTTAGGCAGCTTCTGCCTTTTTATATTAACAATAAATGGAATAAAGAAAAATAAAATCGTGTACAAATCAGCATCAAAGAAATATGTTAATACATAATACAAAATAATATGAATAAAAAGCAAATAACAATACAAAACTCGAAATTCGTACTTTATATAAAAGAATGCATAAAGGACCTATTCTGTAATAAAATCATTAAATTAAAAGACTTAAAACTTCGACAGAAAACTGTGTATTCATCACATACCTTTAAAACACAATGTAGGACACACTCAACCGTTGGGTATGGTTACAGTCACCGTCAAATCCCTGCGGCCCAACAAGCACATTTTAGAGGGAAAAACGTCAGACAACTTCATAAGCGTGACGGTTTAATCTTAACCAAACCCAAAGCTTTTCTTTTTAAAACACTTAGACAGTTAACATTATACTTTTATGCAACACAAAACTGTGAGAACTATTTTTAACGATATAAACATTATTAAGAGTGAGAGGTAGCGTTAGAACACATCTTACCAGCAGCTCAGTTAGGCAGCTTCTGGTCACAGAGCCTTGCTTTGTGCAACACTAATAACTGTCCTCCAAGAACAATATTTATGGTTGGAACCAAAAATAAAAGCAGTATAAAACAGAAATAGCCTGCCGCAGTGCAAAAGCAATAACAAAATGTCAATTCAACAAAAAGGTGTTTTGAGAAGGTTCGTAAGAAAAAAATAAAAATATAAATAAATTTAACTCAGCTACACTTAGCTTGTTAGTTTAGGTGGTCAAACATGTCTCGATATGTTAGTAGATGTGCTATACTCTCTCCATTTGTAGATAATGAATTGGACAAGTCTCATTGAAATATTAAAATTTTTGGATATTGTTTTATAACCTAACCTACTTCAAAATTATACACACATTTATGACTGAGCTGTCTCCTGTGTTCCTTGGTCTTCACGGTGCTGTTTGTTCACTGATTTTCCTCTGAGGCATTTACAAAGCAGCTGTATATATTCTGAGGCTAAATTACAAACTGGTCAGTCAGTCATTTTCTATACAGCTTCTTCCATAGTGGCTCGCAGGGAAGCTGGTGCCTGGTACACCCTGGACAGGTCGCCAGTTCATCGCAGGGCAACACAAACAGGACAAACAACCATGCACACACTCATTCACCTAAGGGCAATTTGGAGAGACCAATTAAACTAGCAGTCATGTTTTTGGACTGTAGGAGGAAGTCGGAGTACCCGGTGAGAACCCACACATGCATGGGGGAGAACATGCAAACTCCAGGCAGAAATACCCCCGCTGGGAATCGAACCCAGGACCTTCTTGCTGCAAAGCAACAGTGCTACCAACTGCACCACTGATTACGCACAGGTGGACTCTGTTAAAGGAAAGAGGCCTAAATACATTTGCCCGCCAGACTTTTCAGATGTGCATTTGTAAAAAACAATATATATAAAAAACACGTAAAAGCCAGTACTATAATAGGTGCCATTTATGGAACACTTTTGACCATTTCAGATGTAATGAAACCAATACAATGATAACTTGCCAATAAATTAATAAAACTTTTTGAGCCAATAACATAATAACATTTGACAATAACTGTGCCACACCTGTTGGTCACATGACCAATGTTCTCTTTCTGAATGCTATCACATCCCACTAAGTGATCTAACTACCAAATGCACGTCACAGTAGCTAGTTAAGCAAAATCTATCCATACATGAAATTATGAATTATGCTACAATAATTACACTAATTATCAGTATTATTAAAAAAAAGCAGAATTTTGCACACAGATTATCAGCAAGTTAAAATAATACAATCAGAATGTAGCTTTGAACAGTTAAAATGTCAGGCACAGCATAGCAAATTACTAATTTCCTGTCTGTGTGTATGGCAGCAGGAAGTTAGGGATACATCCTCCCTTCTGGCTGAAGGGAAGGAAACGGTGTGAATGGACATGGGATGTCACTGACCTCTCTGAAGAGAGTCAAGGCTTGACCTTGAAGTCTAGCTGAATAAACAGGGGGCTGAAATTACAGCAGAGTTCAACATGGATGCTTTTAAAGTTCTCTTTTAGTTCTATTTCATTTTCATTGGAAAAAGTCTTGAAATACTTGTCCCTAATTAACTGTTATTAGGGTACCTAAATTGATTCACATCATTTGTTTAAAGGAATTCATTTCAACATAACTACAGATTGTAAAACAGATGAAACTATGACAATTATCTAGCTCTACCTGGATGCCTTTAATTTCTGCCCTACAGAACTTAAAATGTTGCACACTTTAGATCATAAAGGTAAAAGCAACTTCCTGGATTTATGATCCCACAACATGGAATGAAACCATTTGGTTTTTATTATTCCATTTACTCTTAGCCGGACCACAAAGTGGTTCTGAGAGCTGTTTTATGTATTCAGCTGCCTTCCCCTCAACAAGCATGTGGAGCTGCTTAAATAAACCATCAACTAGAGCACAGCTGCAACAACAACCGATCGATCGGAGGCAGGTTACCGTCTGAACATTGCGCCGCCAGCACGCTGGCTTCAGCAGGTGGGGTGGGAGTTGTAATTTGCTGCTGAAGGGCTTTTGTGCTTGCCTGGCTGCAGAAAAACTGTAACTTGTGCCTCCCTTGATAGATAGCCATGAAGGCTGATAAAATGTGTGTGTTTGGAAGAGATTCGCCGCTGTATAAACAATCTACTCCCTGCCTTCAACAACATCTGGGAACTCTCAAGTATTGAGGCAGAAACAAATAACCAGGGACTTGTTAGTTTTTGATTAGACTTTAAACAACTCATCATGGCTCATGGAGTTCCCCTTACTGCGATGCGTGGACGGTCACACAGGAATACACAGGAAGGGAAAAAAACGTAAAAACAAATGAACACAGAAGACTCAACTGTATTTAAACACATTTCCTTGAGAAAACACTTTAAACTAGATGATTAAATGCTTCTTTTAAAAGTTGTCAGCAAGAGAAGCTTTTTAGTTTCAGAAAAGCTCCATAGGAAAATTCCTAAAACAAGGAGTCACTGGGTTTACAAACATGGCAATTTCTCTGCACTATTTGTCTCAATGAATCTGACTCTCCCTAATCTCTTCCCTCAAACAAACAAGGAGCATCAGCCCCCCCACCCCCAATCAGTAATCTCAATGATGTTTGCTGGCTCTTCTTTAATGAAGACCGTACACATTATCTGCAGCTAAGTCTGGGTGAACATTGCTAATAGTTTCTGAATCTTTATTTTGTTTCAAAATGTGACATACCCTTTAAAAACCAAAACACATTAATTTCCTGTGCAAAACAAAATGTCATAACATGTGATCACGTGTATGTGATGAAGCACATGTGAAATTTCCCATGTTAAAATTGCGTGTTAGAAATGTGAATCACATAAAACATGTTTTGTGAATGGGATATGCTGTTTTCGAACATGCTTATAGTATAATCTTTGAAGCACATAAGAAATCCCAAATTATACCATTGGGATTACATAAAAACTGATAAATTGCACATGACGCTCATGTGAAACCCATAGAATTAAATGCACAAAACTGTACTATACATTTAAAAATTCAAATCTCCTTCACACTGCTGCATGCGTAGATTCTCACACATTCGTTCACAGATCTGCAATCAAACTCACAACCTGCAGTTTACTAGATGACTTCTCTTCCTACTAAGCCACAGTCATCACTCATGGGACCCCTGGGATTTCGAAGACATGATGCAATGCCCACTGTACAAACAAGCATCTGTGACTATGTTCACAGTGAAGACTGGCCCAAATCTGACTTTTTTGCCCATATGTGATCCATATAAGAATTTTTTATGACAGTCTGAAAAGCACAAATATTTTTTTTGTTTTTCAGAATCAGCTCCAGGCAATTTTCAAATGTGGTCCTAACATGGATACATAGCTGATGTTTTTCGAAGTGACCCAAGGTTGAGTGGTCATATCACTTGTGATAATTTTGTTGACTCTGATTGCTCACCTTTAGAATTGATATATACACATGCTGACATTTAGCATCCATATTTACTTACAAACACAGCATGCTGCTGGTGACATCACGTCTTCTTTTGAACGTAGTTTAAGATGCCTCAACAGACCAAGCATGCCCTGTCCTTTAATGAAACGTTGTAAATAAAACAAAATGGTCTACAAACATTTCTTTGGATGTAGATTCTTATGTTGCCTGTGTTTGCAGATTCATAGCCAAAAAGTATTTCTTATAAAACATTTTTTTAAACAGAGGAATATTATTTGATGTTAATATTACTAAAATTTTTACTTTTCTCGCTTTTTACAGCATTTTACAGCAAAGAACTGATAAAAAATATTGTGTTAGATTTCACAGCTGTAAACGCTTTTGCTAATGTTATCTTAATGTTACTATGCAGTTTTTCACATATTCATGTAAACTTGTTTTCTGCAATATTTGTCCTAAAACCATCCTAGTGCTGCCCTCTTTGGGTTATAGGTGGCTACTACAGTAGAATTTTCTTATTGGTTCAAACTGTAGAGCTTGGTACATGTCTACGTCACAGTCCCACTCTCGAACAATAAAACCCAGACACATGCGTCGATTCTGTCCTCCACTGCCTTGGCAGCATTGGCTTCAGGCGTCACTGAATCAACGCCTTAAGCTAGTGGCTCATACTGATAAGGCTGAGGCCCGCTGGGCTCCACAAAGCCTCCCTCAACTTTCGGAAACGAGGCGAGCGAAAAATCCTCCACCTCACAAGACCTAAACTACTAACGTCGCTTTGCTCATTCTCTATGTTTCATTATGTCAATATGTCAATATTAAGGTAACTGCCACTTTCCCTCGTCCTCCTGACCACACTCACCCTTGACCCCCTCTGCCCATCCCAACATTTGGCTCTGCACCTCAGTGTCTCTTGGCACTGCCCACTTTGGTGACATTTTTCAAAATTTGGGGGAGGGGTTATACTTTTACATTGGGTTAAGTTACACTTTAACATGCGCAAATTATATCATGTAGTATGATGGGAATCTATGTGAAACACATTTTATCTGACATGTGTAAAATATTTTGACTAGTAACATGGGAAATGTATTTCACATACAGACATCATATTATTTATGATGTGCACATCTCTATCCACATGTGAAACACATTGAATTTATATTATTTAGGACTATCTTCCACGTGTAAAACACATTGGAAACCTTCTACTTGTGAAAAGTACTTCATGTAGTAATATGGAACACACATTTTTCACATGTATAAATAATATTGTGTATTAACAAGTGTTTTATGCATATTTATTATGGAGTAACATGTGAAACTTGTTGGAAAATCTTCTGTTTCACATCTTAAATTTATATTGTGTTTGAGTGCCCGAATGATCCTAGAGGCTATGTTGTCTGGGGCTTAAATGCCCCTGGTAGGGTCTCCCATGGCAAACAGGCTCTAGGTTACAGACAAAGAGCGGTTCAAGACATCCTCATGAGGACTACACAAACAAGGCACGTGACGTCGCCCGGTACGGCGGAGCCGGGGTCCCACTCTTGAGCTGGGCCTGGGGTCAGGACCCGTCGGAGAGCGCCTCGTGGCTGGGTTGCTCCTCGCAGGACCTGGCCAGGCCAAGCCAGAAGGAGAGACACGAGGCCGTCCCCCAGTGAGCCCACCACCTGCAGGGGGAACCGTGAGGGACCGGTGCAAAGAGGATTGGGCGGTGGACGAAGGTAGAGACCTTGGGGGCCCGATCTCCGGATGCTTAGGCTGGCTCTAGGGACGTGGAATGTTACCTCGCTGGGGGGGGAAGGAGCCTGAGCTTGTGCGGGAGGTCACAAGATATCGACTAGAAATAGTCGGGCTCACATCCACGCACAGCGTGGGCTCTGGAACCCATCTCCTCAAGAGGGGCTGGACTCTCTTCTACTCTGGAGTGGCGCACGGGGAGAGGCAGCGGGCTGGGTTGGGTTTGCTTGGTGCCTGTCTCGTGCTGGGGTTTACCTCAGTGGAGGAGAGGGTCGCATCCCTGCGCCTTCGGGTTGGGGACAGGTCTCTGACCATTGTTTCGGCCTACGGGCTGGGTGGTAGTGCGGAGTACCCGGCCTTCTTGGCGTCCCTGTCAGGGGTGCTGGATAGTGCCCCTCCCGGGGACTCCATTATTCTGCTGGGGGACTTCAACGCCCACGTGGGAAATG